TTCCACCGTAAATAGTGCATCATTGATTCAATGTTGAGTCAATGTGGGTGTATAAACGGTGATGGTCACCGCGTTGAATCAATGTTGATTCAACATAGAAGTATAAACCTTCAACAGTGAAACATTCGATCCACACAAAATCAACGTTGAATCAATGTTATGGGCTACCTGGGTATATACCTCGACGAGACTGCAAGAATTTATGGGTGTGAAGGAAGAATCCACTGATTATGGGGGTGGTCATTTATTCCGGCAGGGATATGTACAAACACATTAAACTATGCCCGACACAACCCTGCACTTAACTGCAATAGAAAAGAGCAGCTGTCAGTACACTTACCATGCCTCGGTTTGTCGGGTGTGCGGCCTGCACCACCCATCTAAACTCTGTGGCTCCGTACAGGACTCTAGCCACGACCTTGGCAGGCAGACAGCACCTCTGGAGAGTCTGACGCACGGCCAATGAACCAATGAAAAAGTTGGGCGCGGAGCGCATGCCGCATCGTTGTTGCAGGTAATCACGCCCCCTTGACCATTCTGAAGTTCTGCGACACTCGTAGGTCATTCTTCGCATTTGATTTGTTGCTTGCTGGCGAATTTGGAGTTTACTTTGATTTTGATTTGTGATCATATTCAGGTTTCTGTCGTAATCTGGAAGCAGACCATTCGTAAGGAGACCAAAAAGGTTTCTTCAAGTTGGAACAGTAAGCTACTGATAAATAGGTTCCTCACATAGCCTATGGTAGGAGGGTCACTCAAGCCTATCAAAGGCCTGGGCTAGCGAAACGCAACGTTAGCATTTGGAAATCTAGTTCGAGCCTCGAACCGCAATGCCACCAAATTTCTGTCACTTCCTGAAGGCATCAGTGAGTGGAGTTTTCCTTCTCCAAGTTAGGCCTATCCTAGGTCATAGCATAGGACTTAGGTTGTACTAGTTTATGTGCAGGCAATTGACTAAATTACTATTTAGAATTGTTCTCATATCCTGGACGTGCCCAAGGGGAGGTTATGGGGGTAATAACTCCCCCTTCCCTTGGAATACAGTGTACAGTTTCAATTCTCAAAAAAATTTTAATTTCGCCATATATGCAGGGTTGGGTAACCAATTTTTTGGATGTCAACCCCTCATTGGGATTTTTTGGGTATGTTACTGGTTGTTAGCTCCAGATTTGTTGATATGATGGGATTTTTTATTTCTAGAATAACAAGGAAAACATCTGTGGGCCCCATGTCTCTAAAAGTAATGTTATGCCATCCAAGTGGAATGACTTTTAGACAGATTGGTGCCCAAAGCTCTTTTGTTGAATTCAAATGTCAAGTTTCCATTGCTCCCTATTCACCCAGTCGACATCCCTGCAAATCAATATGAAATTTCAGCTTCAAAGTTTGCTATGTTCTTGTAAAATATCCCAGGTAATGCATAATCTTAAGACTGAGGGGTTCTCTTTAGGATGCTACTGGCAGGACTATATGATCCTGATTGAAGCACAAGTTTTCTTCAAATCTTGTCATACTGTCCAGCTTATCTCGTAAACTTGAGATTATTATTTTATTAGCCTGTGATCATGGCTGGCTATTATTCAACTTCTTCCTTTATTTCAAAATGCATTTTTTTTATTTAGAATGACTTCACTAGTGCTGGAAAAAATTAAGCTGAGTAATTATTATATGTGCTGTGCTAAGTTCACTCGTATGATACTTTGGGCCCCAACCATAAAAATGGCTTTAGGTATGAAAAGCAGGAAAATATATAACAAAGGTGTCACATATGATATCAGAGATATGCAGAAATTAACATATACATGAAATTTGAACCTCCTTCATCTGATAGCTTATCAAGTGTTTCATATGGAATACCAATCTGTAGGAAAATAAAGTTAAATTATTGTAAGCAAAGATATCATTGCTATTAATCTTGGGCTCACAGTAAAGAAATACACAGTACTGGATACAATGCCTCTAAAACTTTATTTTAAGCCCTAGGCCAGGAGAGTCAAACTCAATGAGGCTGGGGGCCAGATGGAAGTCTCCAGGGGTGATTTGGAACCACAATAAAAACCTAACACCTAATCTTTAATGCAAACAGGCTGAAGTTTGCAGTACTTTTCTGTAGCCAATTGTTGAAGAGGACTTTGTGGGCCCGACAAAATGGACTGATGGGCCATATCCAGCCTGCAGGCCACCAGTTTGTCACCCCTGCCCTAGGCCTTTTAGTTTTTCCTTTGGCTTGATGCATGACTTTTTTTTTTATATCTGAACGTTTTTTCTCTTTTCAGACTACCAAAGTTTGTCTTCTTGGTAACAATGGCAACTTCCTTTTCCCTGTCCTCGGGCAGTTCATGTGTACCTCTGGACAACATCCTGCAGAACAGACAATCTATCCCTTCTCAGATATGGGTGAGAGGGAACCATCTTTCCAGGTTTGCCAGCTTTGTTAATTTACTCTACCACTGTAGTGTATAGAAAATGAAAATTTATTTATTTCAATTTTTATTTGGTGTCTTGTTTGAATAAGTCTAATTTTTCATATACCCTATGAATTTTAATTTATTGAATTCTAGCCCCAACCTACTCATTAATGTGCTGTTTTCCTTGTTTTCAAAGGCATCAGACCTGCAGATCCAACTAGCAGAACCAGAACAACTTCATCCAAAGCCTGATCCTGAAAAGCTAACATTTGGAAAGCATTTCACTGATCACATGTTGTCAGTAGAGTGGTCTGGAAAGATGGGATGGGGAAAGCCATACATCACACCTCTTCAGAACATCAGCTTGCATCCAGGAGCAAAGGTGTTTCACTATGCAATAGAGGTAATGCATCTTTATTGCCTTGCTGGAGTTTGCTTATTAACCCTTTAATGCATTGTCAAGCAAATATGCCCCATTCTGAGCCAAAAAACCATAGAACAATAAACAATACAAATAAAATGCAACGAAAAGGACAGCAAAAAAATATTGGGGCCTTCAAGCCATAAATTTGAAGAAGGAATTTTTAAATGATTTTTCTTGTGTTTTGGAAAAATTAAATTAAATGTTAAGGGATGATTCTTTTATTTTTCAGTGAAGAAATATCTAGTCTGTTTCATTTAAGGCCTAGAACACAGAAAAAATGAGGAAAAAGTTCATTGTTCAAATTTGTAAGTTGAAGGCCTGAACTTGTTCCACTTTTTGTTGCATTATTACATTTTACTATGGTTGTTTGTTGTTCAAATAATTTTTAGTTCTGAATGTAGCATACCTGATGCACCATGCATTAAAGGGTTTAAATTTATTTTTTACTTATTTTAAAATTGAATCTTTCTGTGTACAGCTGTTTGAGGGGATGAAGGCACACAGGGGTATAGACGAGAGAATCAGGCTTTTTCGCCCTGACCAGAACATGATGCGAATGATATCAACTTCTCATAGAAGTGCATTACCTGGTTTCAGTGGCTATGAATTCCTCAAATGCTTGAAGAAGTTGATTTGGATTGATCAAGAATGGGTACCTCATTCCCAGGGTTCCAGTCTTTATATTCGACCAACTTTTATTGGCACAGATGTGAGTTTTTTTTTAGGTTGTTTGAAGTCTCTACCAGTATGACATCTAGTAGCCTTACTTATGTTATATATTGATAGAGGAAAGCCTCTCCAGTTCCAGAAAGTATTGATATTGAAAACAAGGTTGGTATCCTCGGTCAAAGTTGTCAACTGGCATACCTTTTCAGCTTGATAAAAGTTTTATCTTTTATTTCATTATTGTCATGGATAATGGTATTAATTTTGATGTAACTGAATGATAAGTCATGCTGTTCTTATATCATGATATTAATTAGGGCTGTACCAATGTACAATGACTGTACTACATTTAGCCAATGGGCTGATGGCTGATTTTTATCTCATATCCATCAGTTGGTGCCAGTACCAGTGCCAATTGTGGTCTGTAGACCAAGAACTCAGTAACATGAAATTGCATACTAATTCAAATTGGTCAATTTGTAAGCCATATGATACTTATTAGTTGGTCTCCTTCGTAATATGATAGTCTTTAAGCCTTGTCCAGCCTGTCTATCTGTGTCCATCAGTTGTCAGCTTGTTACCTGCTGCTGCTGACAGAGCATTTCACAATATCTCTCGCAAAAGCCTTATGTGAAAGGAGGTGCCATGATTTCCCATTCTTTACTGCTATTTTCCTTCTTCTAGTTCCTACACTCAATCTGAAATATAATTCAGATATATACTAAAATATAGTTCAGAGTATGGAAAGATATTTGAGAATTTGTTTGTGTTGCTTTCACCTATTTATGAATTTTCACCTTTTTCCTCCCATTCTAAGAGATGTTAAGTTATTCATAAATATTTGCAGAGGGAATTATGGAAAAGGCTCCTTTCCCTAAATTCTTCTTCTGTTGATGAATGATACAATTGATCTTGTGTGTATCATCATGTGATGTATGCCTGAGCTTTTCTCTTCCTTTCCTTGAGTGTGACATCAATTAGTATAAGACCCATTCCACTTGAAAACAGTCTAATTCTGCTTTTTGCTTTTTCATTTTTTCCCCCCTCTCTTTGCCCACATGATTGTGAACAGCCTGCGCTTGGGGTGGCAAGGTCTGAAAGAGCTCTTCTGTATGTCGTATTGTGTCCAGTGGGTCCATACTTTGCCACAGGAATGAAGCCAGTTTCCCTGTTGGCTGACCCCATGTATGTGCGTGCTTGGCCAGGGGGATGCGGCGACAAGAAAGTTGGATCCAACTATGGACCTACCATCTATATCCAGGTTTGTTTGTTCACCATGGCTTGTTGTTCCCCAAGTGTCTTTTAATGTTTTGGTTTTATGTAGAAAGTAAGAAGCTGAAGAAAAATTATGTACAAAAAACAAAAACAACTAATTTCAATTCCTTTACCTCTGCTCTCCCACTGGAGCCATTTTGAAGAAGCTCATACTTTGCAAAGATGAATCTGTTGGCTTTGTCTCAGTAAAGTAAATTTGGATATGTGTAATTATTCCAAAGATGATTAAGATAGAAAATGGACAAGAGCTCGTGTTAGTAATAGATTTGAGAAAACATTATCTCACTGCAGTTGCAAATAATATGAACTAATAATAATGAACTTCTCTTCCATAGAAATTCATTATTTAGGCTTGTCTTTAATTCAAGATGATTTTGATAAGCTTTTATTTTTAAAATTATTGGCTAATGAATTAAGAAGTATAAATATAGATTTGCTGACACAAATTGGGGAATGAGACTGGCTGAGTCTTGTCTATTTGAAGGGGCTGGTGTCTCCTGTCCTTTTTCAGTTTATTTTTAATTATTACTGAAAACCTTGCTTTGGTGAAACCAGTTCAGTTGAAAATTCAAAGATCTGTTGGGAACACTATTTGCCCAGGGCAAGTTTTGCAACAGCTGATATAGTCTTGTTTTTGTTTTTTTTTTCTTTTTACCACACCCTGCATTTGCTGTAGGAAAAATTATGGTTGCCATGCATCTTACACATTACAGAAAGTAGCTGAGAAGATGGGAGTTCAACAGATCCTTTGGCTATTCGGGAATGATCACCAATTGACAGAAGTTGGTACCATGAACATCTTTGTTTACCTGATCAATGACAAAGGAGGTAGGTCCTTTAGGTTCCTTAGTATCCAAAGTATATTATATCATTGGAGGAATCCAATGTAAGATGTGCTTCATCTATTATTTTGACATTTAGAGAAGGAGCTGGTGACACCCCCTTTGGATGGACTTATTCTCCCTGGGGTAACAAGAAGATCTTTGCTTGAAATGGCTCGATCATGGTCAGAATTCAAAGTTTCTGAGCGAAGAATCACAATGAAAGAGGTCGTCAAGGCATGCAAAGAGAACAGAGTAATTATTTTTATCATGAATCGCTGTTATATCCTGAATGAGTGCTTTTATCAATACTTGGTCCTTTGATGCTTGGTCTTTGATGCACTTCTTCAATCTTGAAATGCATGCTCTTTTCCTCAGTTACTGGAGATCTTTGGTGCAGGGACAGCTTGCATTGTGTGCCCTGTGAATAAGATCTACTACCAAAAGGATGTATTGGAAATCCCTACCATGGATCATCCCTTTCCCTTGAACCAACGTTTCCTGAAAGACCTGCAGGACATTCAATATGGGCAGGTGAAGCATCCATGGGCAGTTGACATTGAGGATTCAGATGCCATCATGCATGAAGTGGCTGCCACGCATTCTTGAATGAAGCTTCCTAGCCCCATTTAGTCAAAAACCAAACTTTTGCTGTAATCAACATGGGAGTGGAAATGGAAGATCATGTAAATAGAACTGCATGGTAGTAATCTTCATGCTTGATAAGAAGCTCTAGAGAAGCAGCTTTATCCTTTCTCATTGAGTGGAGAATGTCTCTTTAGTTATAGAACAGCAGTTATAGCTTCTCTCATTGGAACTTATGGCTGCTTAAGTTCTTGATTGAAATTTAAGGCTGCTTATGTTCATGACAGTTACCAGGTGCATTGTTGCATTTTACTTTTGCCATTGATGTGCTTCCTGATAGGAGTGGAACTGTGTTCTGTTCCTTACATTGCACTGACTAGGAGGTGTTTTGTGGTGCTTCTGTTGTGCTACATAGGGTTGGAACTTTTTTATTTTTACGATTTTTAGAGATAAATCTTTTTAAACGAAAGACAAGAAAGATAGGAAAATGTTAGTTGTGGTTCTTTGCTGAGATTTTTTTTTTTGATTTATATGACACAAAAGAAATTGAAATCTGTGGATGGGCATTGCAATAGATTTTTGTTATCACTAGAATTGATTACTTTCTGTCTGTTGTCTTGTCGGTGCTAGTATGCATCTCTGTGCCTGGGCGCCAATCTCCTGCTTGGCAAAAATATTGTAAATGGCCTGGATTTTATGGAAATGGGAATCAGAAATGTTGAATTTGGTTTTCTGTCATTTTCTATAAATATGAATGGATAAAAAGTCCAAGTTCCAGCCCAAGCTAAGGGAAATCACTTGGATTTCTCCGAATCTCTTGACCAATTGAGCAGGTTTCAAGTTGATTCTCAATGTGATGAGATCTGGAGTCAGATTCATTCAATGGGGATTGTGTATAACTGTGGTACACTATAGGAGAAGGTCCTAATTGCCAGCCCTGTCTTGAGTAGATGAGGACCTATTCCTGAAATGCTGGTTCATTAGGTACATGCATGACTGCCCCCTGATAGCAATCAGAAATATGACATTGGCTCATGATTGCTGTGTTCATGTAGCACCTGCTGTGATCTCTTGACGTTCTGGTCAGCTACTTGTGGATTGAATTCTGAGTGATGTCTGGTATGAATATCATTATCATCTTTGATCTGTCTTGCATCAAAAGTTCTGGCAATCTTCACATCCATTTGAATCTCATGCAGTGTCTGGATGCTAGTCAATCCTCTTGTGCAATCTAGAAGACTTTGCTGTATTTATGTTGTGTGATATTGCAGTAATCTTGAGAAGAAGATAAAGGTTGTGTTTGTCAGTGTGATGTGATCCTGCATGGTCAGTTTCCTGTGACCTGTTTCTTCAGTATGCAGCAAAGTCTGTTCAGGCCAACAGGGTGCAAGCTTAATGTGCAATAAAAAGTGATCCCTAGAATGTGGATTTTGATCTTTTCCGAAGCTTTATAATGAGCTTTCTATTCATGACTCCGTGATTTTGAGGGAACAGAAGCAATGTTAGCTGCGCAATGAATAAAGAACAAGAGAAAAAATTCAAGAGCTGATGGAAGGAAGAGCAAAAGGGAAGGAACAATGCTACCATGGAGCCGCTGCTGCTGCAGCGTACTGAGATGGAGATGGGAATGAATCTCAGTTGCAGCGTCTCAGCGGGTATTGAATACGGATTTAGGAATCGAACCGTCGTGAATATGAACTACGAGAGGTCGAGAAACTTCGTTGGATAATGGATGAGGGTCATAAGGACAGACATCACGCCAACTGGCACGTGTCCTACTCCTTGTTTTCCCTTCAAAATTACTGCCTCACGTATCTCCAGCTGCCGCTTCAACGACAGCTGACTTATATACAGATGGGCTACCTACAATCGTTCGCCCCGAGCTGGTGTCAGCTGGCATTATTTCATTTTCTCACATGTACTCATTCGGAAGAGCAGACGAGTCGTCGAATTTTGGCCAATCCATTCACAGCTTCTCTCGCGCCTATCTGGAAGCAGACACAATGGGCTTCGGGTGTCAGACTGAAAATAGCCAACTGCCGTGAAAGGTGAGAGGAACAAAGAAAGGAGAAAAAATAAACCGGATTGATTCTACGACCATGGTTCGAGCTTCGAGGAATGAAAGAGAACAGTAGAAGAAGAAAAGGCAGATGGGTGTGGGTTGAGCTTGCGGTAATTTACAAGCACTTACCGGAAAATATGTGCGTTTACAGAGAGGGAGAAAGATGAGGTTTATCAGAAAGGGGGATGTACACGCGCACACATTTCACAATGGAACATCTGCTCTTCCTTCTATCGGATCAAACGAGGCGAATGGACCCCAAACGAACTAGGGGCTCGTGTTTGCACATCACCTCGGGGCCATGTTCGCAACGGAACGGTTATTTAAACACACAACCGTGTTTATTATTCCTGATGTGGTTTTTGAAGTTGACCTACAATATAATGCAAAAGAGTTTTATTGTTTCAACTCCAGACATGAGAACAATGCGTTTTATACGAACTAGATAGGTTCCTTTTTCGGAGCATCAGGGGCGTGCCTAAGACTGCACGATGGACACAATATATCGGGGAATGACATTCCAAAATGGTTAACCATCAACTCATTGCATTATTCCTTAGAAATATTCGTTCTCGTAAATTAGGGATCGTGGAAGAGCAGCTCTGCGCCCAGCTCAGTGCCTGAAACCACAAGCTGCACGTGTTGACAAGCAGTGCGCACACTTTCGTATAACGAAGAATAATGAGAGAGACGGGCGTTGATACCCGAATGTGAGTGCATGGAGATGGGGCCCCAACAGGTGTTGCTTGGTGCATCAGTTCCTGTGCCCACACGGCTAAAAGCCAGCCGTAGTCATTACTACGCTGCTCTATTCGCGAGAGAAGCTACCCTGTCCCTCTCTCCCGTCCCTCATTCCCTTGCCTCCCTCCTCCCTTTGCATCACTCGCTTTCACTCACACGTAGTGTATCCGCTACAATTATTATTTTCATTCCTCTCTTGCTATCCTCGTCGAGAGACTGCTTCAGAGAGAGGCATGTGAATCTGTGTTTGGTTTCCCATGCGACTACAGTGTGATAAGACGGAATCCCGTGCATTCATAGCCATTCCTCGTCTGATGTCAACATGCACGTTTCCACCTGCTTCCCTTTCCTCCAGGCTTTCTATTTCGTCTTTGCCAACTTGGTGAGTTTGTATTTTTATTCATTTTTTTTATTTATTTAAATAAACGATACCGAAAATCTAAGTCGCGCCCTTTTCCGTGTCGCTCTACGAGGTACGTGAAAGTTCAGAAGCAGTGGTAGTGTGCATGAAATGCCAATATCGTTCCAGTGCGTCTCGTATAAGGCAGCATGGTGCAGAAGAAAATAGCAGCATCGTTTCCTATAATGGGACTTCCTTATGGAATGAGAGTGGCTGAGATGGGATAAATGCTCACTTCTTGTTTACGCATGATCTGATACATGAAGGTGACAGCCTCGCTGAGAACGATAGATTTTCTGCACCATGCTTTACTGCGATTCAACTGCGGTTCCAAATGTGCAGGGCGTTTCAAAATGCACTCCCTGTTCAAGCATCTGTGGAGTACTCATGGATTGACGTTTGACGGGATAAAGTGGATGTTGGACCAATTTGACTATGCAGAGGCTGATGCGCATGAACAAAGCAGGTGTTACAAGGAAACGCGCTAGCAAATTGGATGGCACCTTCATCGCGTCATGCCCCCTGCATATTAATACTCATTAATCCTAGAACTCCCAACCGTCGATAAAATCGACGGTTGGCAGTTCTAGGGTTAATCCAGGTCGTTATATAGTAATGGCTCAATTTAGGTTTGTTGGTGGTTAGGATGATCTCAGGGCGTAGCATTCCATTTCACACTGCTGCGTGTCGCATTTCTCGAGGTCTGATGTGAATATTCTGGCTTATGCTGTCTTTCGATTCTGGGTGAGTTCGAATTTCTGTTCCCGGTGACTTCTATTCTTACTGTGAAAGCAAGTGACAGGATGGTGGCTCCATCACGATACCTGATTTTTTCAGGCACATCAGCTTCAGCTCAGTTGAACTATTTCAACACCCGATTTTTCTCGTCTTACGCCATTTCATATGCGTTCCACAGCTGCCTGAAGAGCGGAAATGACTTTTTGAACGAACCGTATAATGTTGTGGAAAGATATGACCGGGGGCCTTATTCACGAATCATTCCATAAGTGATATTCATCAAACCTCTGCTGCCACGAAGTTTTTACGAAGTTTTCAAGTGTTCATAAGTGTTCGTAAGTGGTATTCATGAAACGTGTTTTCGTAAGATACTCGTACGATACTTCGTATGCAGTTTGTTGCAATGCTGCACAATTTTGCTATTCACGACAGTGCAAAAGTTCGTATCTCTATTCGTGAGTCTATGGATGGTCCCGAGGTATCTTGTGGCGGCAAAATTATTATGATATGCAAATAACAATAATTCTGAGGCAATATGTGGAACTTTCTTTCATCAGGTGCCTGAATCGAGCAAAGGTTCATTAACACCGGAAGGTCTCAGGATATTTCGCCTCTGTTCATGTCATTCACTTTCATCCAGTGTCACAAAAGGAAGACGATAATACTCCCACAGCGCTTTTTTTTTCAATTATATAAAAAATCTTTTGACAAAGATGGCTGTAGGGAAGATGGTGGTCCGCCACCAGTCCTGTCAGTCTCCCTGAGAAACTGAACTCCTTCCGTGTTTGCACTTCACTTCAAGTCCACGAATGTTAATTTACATCTACAGCAGTTCTCCGTACAGAGGATACACAGGTCACTGCATCAACCACTAAATCCCGTGCTTGAGATGTCATTTTTGCCGTAACACTTGAGCTCAATTCTTCCAGCAAGGTATTCTTCCGGCGCTTTACTTCCTCAACGAGCACCCTAAATTCTTCACCGGTGAAATTCGGTCGTCAGTCACTCTTTCTTCCACTATCCATGTTACTGCTTGCGTACTGGATCCAGAACTTATCCTTTGGCGTTTCTGAAACCTTGGGGTAGTTTGTCTTTCGATGAGATTCAGCGGTACGGTCTTTTAGGATGCTTTCGAAGATTCGGCAGAACCTCCAATTAAGTTAAAACTTTCAGTAAAAGCGAAAGCAATAGCACGGAACGCGCAGGAAGTTTGCAGAAGGTTCCTGTGACATGGAACTCGTGAGTCATGATGCCAACGCGATAAACGCGTTGCATTCCTCTCTGCAATCGGTTTGCCAGTTCCCGAAACCAGTTATGATTGGCTGGCTCATTATCATAGCTACGAGGTTTCATAAATACCAACAGCATTCATAAGAATGCGATGAGGACTTCGAAGATTCGTGAATAGCACTAGATGCGAACTTCGTAAGAATATCGCATTTCCACGGAGTTTTCATATACTGTGTAAAGCCCCAGGCTAATATGAGAAGGCCTACTCACGAAAGTGGTTGAGGGAAAAAATACGTGGATACAGGACGGACGTGTGCACCGACACACGGAAAGAGGAAGATGTCAGGGAAATATGACTGGTACATTCCTGGACCACTCCTGTGGAATTAATTAACGTACAAGGGATCTCTCTTTTTTTCTCGTCTTGTTTCCCTTTCCAGAACATGAGGGGATGGAAGATAGAGACGGATGGAGACTGTAGATGAAGATATCTCATTATAATCTCTATAATTGGAAGCAAGAATGGCGCTGGACTGTAAATTATGGAGTTGACAGATCCAGGAGACATTTTATTCGAAGATTCCCTTTCTCTCCCTCTGTCTTTCTTGACTCACTTTCCATTTAATCCATTCCATCCCTCACTTCATGCCTTTCCCATAAAAGGAGAGATTCGGGGAACCCCATTGAACCGTCGTAGATCCACTTGAGGAAAAGAAAGAAACCCTCGCTCTTTCGGGTCTCATCGATTAAGTTCAAAGAACAGAAGAATGCAGGTGGGTTGGAGTGTCGTTCAAGCCATACAGTATACACGGAAAGGAATGGGAGGCATGCAGTCGTTGCCGCTGCTTTTCGATTAATTTTTATCTCACTTCCGTTTTAGTGGTATTTTCACTTTTTTTTAATTGGGGAACTCTTGTGTCCAAGATCTTATCTCGTTGATGCCGGATCTTCTTTCGTTATTCTCCCTTTCCCACGTCAGATGCGACCTTTCGAACCAGGAAATTGCTCAAATCCTCGCCATAATGAAATCCATCCCATGCACCATGCTCGAGCCCCATTCGCCTCACTTGAGAGCACATCAGTTCCTCCATTAGAGATGCTCGCTATGCTGCCAGACAAGCCACTGAATCTTAAGGAAGAGGACTAACGAATTCAAGACATTTCCTGCCTCTCTAGTCGAAGAGGAGTATATTTCTTAATTATGACAGGAAACAGGGATGCAGAGGCGGAGGGGTTATTTCTAATTGTGCGCAGTAATGAGCGTGAATCCTACCTGGTGTCTATTCAGCGTCTATCCAGTGTCTCCTATTTTCTTTTTCCCCTCTCCTTTTTTAAAAATAAAAAAGAAGAGGGGATTTATTATTTATTTTTATTACTTTTTCACTCGTGGAGTGCTGCGGGCTGAGGTGAAGTGGAGAAATGGAAGCCTTCTAATCATGCATCATGCTCTAGCAGTCCTGGATATTTGTTGACGAAGTATGCATTCAGATAATCACAAGTAGTACAGTGGCATTCCACAGATATGCCTATGCGTCCACATTGATTCGACTTTTGCCGTGGGATACAGTATATCATTCAGTTTGAACGGGGTCCAATTTTTCTGTCACAATCACTTAAATGTTGTGCTTTGCTCTCCATCCTTATCACATGTTTGGGAATTGCTCTTGTCCAGGAATTATGCTGGGTTCTAAAGAAAATTCCATTGCATAATACCCTTCAGGTGGCGAGCGAAAACGAAGGAGATGCAGGAGCATCGAGGAAGGAGGTGGAGAGAAGGGTGGGAGTGACACCGTTGAACTCCTGTTTTAAGTGCCCACCAGGTTTCGGTGCATCCCGCGTATGCACTGAGAGGGAGGACACGGTGTGCCATGCGTGCATCGAGGGAACGTATTCCCAGGATACTTCGGAAATCCTCGACTGTTTCCTCTGCTCTGGTTGTGGTGATGGCCTCTTCGAGCTCCACGCGTGCAACCCGTTTCGTGATACCATCTGTGACTCCTGCCACTCTAAGAACCACACGCACACTCCGGACTATTTTCGGAAGTGTTCCCGAGAAAAGGAACCGACTCCGGGTGCGAAGAGGATCCTTACCTCTCCTACCCCCCTCCCTCTTCTGCGCCGTGAGAATCTTGTCTTATTCTACCAAGTTTTCTTCCAAGGATACCCATTATCTCGAATTATAGAAGGTCACCTTGAATATATAGTATAATGTTTCAGGTGAATCTATAGGAAAGCGCCTAGGGCTTTGCAATCCATTTATTATATTTACATATAGACCAGTGATGAGCAACCTTTTCTGACTGCGGGCCGCAAGTGAACCTTTTAGGTTTCCAGCGGGCCGCATCTATTCCCCCCCACTGAATTACAAGTTTTATGCCTTCTGAGTACCAAATAATTCTAAGACTGGCTTAGTAAACCAGGTACTAATATAGTATATGCTAATGATATGCAAATAACTAATTTTGAATTTTCTTCTCATCCTTTTACCGAGCAAAATACCAAGCAAGGCGCTTGTTCAGAGAGCAGTCATGCACTAACCAAGAAGAAAGTGAAGGGATAATTGCAACTGTGGTGGAAATATAGATTTTATGTTTAATTTCTTACTTCCGTTTCTCCTGCAGTGGACAATGGAATCCTTGAGCGCACATGCACTCTGCTCCGGATGGCAGGTGACAGGAAAAAAAGATTCAGTTGACAAAGCCCCGCGGGCCGCACACTAGGACCTCGCGGGCCACATGTGGCCCGCGGGCCGTGGGTTGCTCATCACTGATATAGACGAAACATACGAAGTTGACCATTGGGTCACATGTTATGTTCTCACTGGGATAGTTAGCAAGAACACTTGTTCCCATGACTGCCACCTACTTTAATGCATTTTGCGAGTCGCTCAGAAACAACTCGGCAAGCAGGTTGAAATGCATGGTATTCCATAAATTGCGCAATTCAAGCTGTCATTCTTCCCTGATATTAAGCAGATTTCACGCAAATGTTTACATGAAGTCTTACTGCAAGAATTGTCAATAACTCGCTCCTGAACGTCCTGAGTGATGCCTCGTTTCCTTTCAATTCCGTGCAAATTTGTGGCTTTGGTGCATAAATACGCTTCTTTAAGTATTTCCAAGGATTATATTAAGTATTATATCTTAAGTATCTGTGGACAATCAACACCTGGTCCAGGTACAAGTAAGGTGCAGGTCTTTGTCTCTCGGTGAATCGAAGTTTACTTGATGCCGGGCTCTGCCAATGCCGTGTGTATGGACATGTTTGAGCTGCCGGGGGAAAGCCTCTGGGTCTGAACTTTCTCCTCGGTACGGTTTCAGATTGGCCGGCCACTGCGTCCCCTATCCTTCGCACTATCTATTAAACTAATTTTTCCACAAGCAACATGATATATGCTTCGATCGGAGCCCTATGTATTTGAGCGTGTGATCATCCTTGCCAGAATTGCAGAAAATCGGCAAAATGTGCACCATCGTGAGGTATTAATTTGACATGATAAAGGAGACAGTGGTTATTCACAAAACGAAGAGCTGCGCGTATTTTAGAATATCCTGTACCTCGAACAGTAGCTGTGCACTACTGCTTTAACTTTTGGAAGTTTCTTGGCTTTTTGCGCGGACTTTGTCCTTAAGGCATCTCCATCAGAAAAAGTCACAGGGGATCAGGTCAACTTTTATATCATACAATATTCTGCTATTTACTATGGACCACCCTGCATATATGGAAAAGTTCTTGTCTACGATGACCGACGAAAGTCGATTTAACGAGATGAAAATCCCTGTTTTCTGTACATGCAACGAAAACGGAACATCTGTTTCCAGATGTGGGAATTACTGACGAGAGTAAAGGTGGACTAACATCATTGGTACTTGGGGTATCTGACTGGGAGAAGTACAGCTTTTCAATCTAAGAGTTAGGGGGAAGACATTCAATGGTGAAGGGCTAGGCTTTCCAGCATTCTGTGCCTGCCCCCACCATGACTGATGAATCCCGGTACGGGCAAGAGCGGATATTGAAATGATTCGGTATGGCAGTGCCTCAGCCAGTGATGTCGATCGGAAGGGGAGGTGCCGTGAACAAATTTGAGACAGAAAGACACATGTTTCCTCCTATCCCCCCCCCCTACCGAGAGTCGAGAAGCAATTCAAGTTGGGTAAGTCTCAGGTGACACTCAGGCAGCAGAATGATATTTTTTATTTGTAGGATAGGGAATGCATAGTAGAACGCGTTTGGTGAGACGTAGCGGCTGCCACTTCCGTGAATAGTTTTAGGAAGATGTTATATGCCCTCATGGGTAAAGCAAAAAGAAAATAAGCAAAATAGTTGTAATTAAGCAGTAAGTGGATGTGGATGCAAACTATCATTCATTCACTCATTCAATCAAACACTCTCCCATTCAATCAAGCAGTGTCTCGTTCAGGCATTCATGTATGTTAGCAGAAAATTTATTTTAGGATGTAGGAGTTGGGAGGTAACTTAGCTTGGGGCATGGGCCTTGCTGCTAGTTTCCGTCAGGAAGGTTGAGGTGTTGGCTCTGCTCCCTGCTCCACTGGTGTGCTCAGGACAGATTGGTTCTCCCATAACTGGAGGGGTGAAAATAGGATTTCTTAGGCTATACGAGGTGTGGCTATTAAGTTTCCAGACTTTATTTTTGTATTTTTTACTTTTAAACTTACAAATTAATCACATTTATCGCCTTCAAAGTACTCCCCTCCAGAACGTATACACTTATCCCAACGATGCTGCAATTGCTGGAAACAGCGGTGGAAGGCTTCTTTCGGGATGTCTTTCAGAGCCTGCATCACATTTGTTTGAATGTCTTCAATGCTTTGAAATCGATGGCCTTTCAAAAAATTTTTGAGTTTGGGAAATAGCCAAAAGTCACTGGGGGCTAAATCGGGCGAATACGGCGGGTGATCCATTTCAGTGATCCGTTTGGCGG